AATGTGATGTCCACATATGTGGACGCCAGGTCCTAGGAGGTTAAACAATGACAGTATCCTAATAAATTAAAGGTGCTACACTGAGTATGTTTAGGTGGAACATATTGTTAATACTGAGAGGCATTTAGAATGTGAAGCACATAGTGCTTTTGAATGAATGCGACCATAATAACTCCTTTGTTTAATAAATACAGTGAGAATTAAAGGAGACATTAGTCATATTTGATCTCACGTAAAACCTTCTTACTCTCATGTACCCTCCTTTTTTTTAAGCTCCATTAACCAATAAAACTGCTGTTATTTTAACTGCTGTTATGTCTCGTAATAATGAGCTTTCTTTTTTTAAGGCCATTTTTCAAGACTTCATAAATAACTGAACAAAACATGACTAAAAACAGCTTTGACTTCACCTGGCGTTGACTCCGTGTAAACATGCAGTTTTGCATTGGGCGTGGCATCCACAGCACAAGATAGTGATGCTGAATTTGCAATAGTTCTTGCTGCTTTCTTCACTGTCATTCAACAAAAGTCAGACGGTGTCTCAGCATGTGGGAAAGAAAGCAAATGATAAAGATGTGCCAAAAAGACAGCAATGAAATGAAGTGAAATTGTTAATCAGAACATTTGGTTGAGCAGTAAAGTCTCAATCCCTTACGCAGGTGTTATATTGGTCGCACTGAACCACAATGACCGGGGGTCTCATGTTGAAGCTGCCTGTATAAATTATGTCACAGTGACACTTTTTGGTCAAAAAGATCCAACTGATATTTCGTCATGTCTAAAGAGATGTAGTGCTTTTGACATACAATGACAAATGGAAAATGCTACAAGTATTGACACCGTGTCTTTCTTTCTGCCTTTTTTTTCAGAAGGAACTGAGCCTTCCCAGAAGAGGCAGCTTGTAAGTACCCATCATTCTCTTTGCCTTTTGTCTATTTCCAGCCTTATATGGAAATGGTTGGAACGTTTTTATGGTGCAAAGCAATCAACTTTATACACACCTCTGACTGTACGGGTCCTTTAAATTTCTTTGGAAAACAATGTCTTTCATCCTAAATTTCATCTTTAGTGGTCATTAGTATTGAGCAGAGCTTCAAGTGAAGGGATAAAGAGCTATTATTTAGAGGCCACTAAGTTTGTTTGTGTGCTTAGGCCTATTTATATCTTTTTGTGCGTGTGTGCGTGGCAAAGTTCTAATGTAATGTCATGCTGATAAGTCCTACCAAAAGTCAGAGATGCATTGGGGAAAATGCCATTCTAGTGCAGTCATCATAACAGTTCAGATGATTGCACTAGAATGGCATTTAAGCACTTGTTTAATATTTTGAGAGAAATTATTAAAGGCGTTTGCACTTTAGTCACATTCCCTTGACAGTGTTTTGAGGTCTCTCTGTATTTATCTCGATGTTGAGGTAATGTGGAGTTTGCGAGCCTTTGCAAAACCTTCAGCATGGAGTTACTCAGTGGTAGATCAGCTGGTCAGTGTAATCACTTCAGTCATTCTTCCTCATACCGGTACAATGTTCTTCTTGTAACATGTCCAAAGCAGTTTTTCTTTCATTCATTTCTCTCCCTCTTTATTTAACAAACATACCTCTGCTGATTATAGCTCAGAAGGAATTTTAAATTACTTCTGGGCTATAATCACACATGACCTGTGTCATTTAATTAATTAGTCTTGTCTCTCTGTTCACTGGAAAAAGCTTTTTCTGAATTTTATAGGTTTTCTGAGTCTTTCTTGGCCATATTTGTGCCGATGTGGGTTCACAGTAGAACAAATCACTACCAGAATGTGCTCAGTCATCCTAAAGCTGTTCTGCAGTCCTGCAGAGGGTTACTTGTTTCTTCCTGGAAAGTGTAAGAGAAGAACCTTCACTCAAAATGATTACTTTTTCTTGCAGGTCTCAACAGAAATGATGGAGGTTAAGTTAACTTCCATGTCCATTAGGAAATGAGGAATCAAATGCTTCGCAACCTTCCTCAAGAACTTGATATCTTAAAAAATGTCTTGAGGGAATGTTTTCCATAGCAGCACTAGTGTTGGGTAATATTATATATTCTTGCCTACTGTCATTAAAAAGTAATCTATGAAGCTTTAGTTAAACTAGAATAAAATTAGGACGATGATCTCCATATGACCAGGAAAACACTGGTTGGAAAATGATTGCACAGAATTTTTGGGCTTTCTAGAACAGATTAGAAGTAGCTGCTTGTCTGCTCCATGAAACGACAAAACACACAAATCAGAGCTATTAAGGTTTGTTAGAGTAGTTTACAGTGCTTCTAACACCAGAAAGCATGTCTCATTTTGTCTTATAAAAAGAGGCATACTTGGGGAAATGAGGTACAGTACTAGTGGCATCTATTTTTTTAAAAATAATTGTATATTATAAATTTGCTGTAGAACAGTGGTTTGATCACTGCTTTGCGTACCAAAGAATCAGTGTATTTATCAGAGTGTGAAGCAGAAGATGCTTGTATGAATGTGTGTGATTAGATGAATGAGGCATGTTGTATAAAGTGCTTGTAATGTTCAGGTACAGTAAAAAGGCTCCGTGTGAGAACCGGCCCTCTTTAGAAACAGCCCAGTCTGTGGCAGATAGTCACACCTGACGTGTGGTGCAGTGTGGTATGGGGAAGTCTGTCGCTGGCTTTGGTACAGCACTACACATCTGATGAACAGATTTGTAACAGACGGCAGTAGATTTGAGATTTATCACAGTTTATCACGGCAGCACTATCGCAAACAGATTGCACATGCCAGCTTGACCCAGATTGATCGGAAACTGCCTTATTGCCATTTGTTCCCAGTTTATTTGGCATATCTATGCACCGAAGTCAGCTGGAAAATGGCAAGTGGTCTCAGACCTGGCCCCCATCTTTGAGCTTCCATTTCAAAGGCAGAGAAATTGCAAGTTGATTTCACAGGATCACTAAAATATTTGCATCATTGTCTGCTATGATAGCTGAAGCCCTATATTAGAATCAGCTTTATTGGCCAATCACATTAATACACAAGGTGTTGACTCTGTTTGATGTGACTCTCAATGAACATTGATATTCATTACTTCTTTGTTTGGTTAAAGTAAACACCATTTAGCTAAGATTGGATGGTTTCTGTGTTACTTGCAAATCAAAAGATTTCCCACAATCATCTTCACAATCCGCATTATCTTCCAGGATAAACCCTCGTCTCACATGAACAACTTCCATTAATGAGCAACGTGGGAACTACTGATGTATATTTCATCTTTTCCAGGCATTTGAGGCCTGTGAGGCTGCAATTCCAAGTATGATGAGAAAATCATATGAAATGAAATGCATTTTTAGGAATATTTTAAGGAATATTTAGCATCAGCAGTACTGAGAAAGGCAGCTAAAATCGTGACCAAACCCAGAGCATAAGATGTAAACATGTATTTCTTTAGATCTTTTTTCCTCCTGGCTCTGGTGATGTATAAAATTGTGCCCAATGTTTGAACTCTTTTCTGATCCCAGCCCACCAAAATTGTGGTAAATTTCAACAAACAAACACTCAAAGTATAAAAGTGGTTGCTGTAGCAACAACCCCAAAACAACTTTTCCCCCTCCCATTGTTCCTTTCGAATCTTTGACTCTACAGAGCTGATCATTGGTTCCCTGAATATTAGGCTGTTTTTCATCTCCGCCTCTTTGTCCCAGCGTTGTTAAAAAATCCAAAAGAAGCCCATGAGTTTAATTTAAACTCAGATGGTTGTTCTAACTTCTTCCTCAGAGCCCACCATGTTTGTTTAATGAGCAATCTCAACTCTGCTTACCTCACTAGAAACTCAGCAGCACCATCTGCTGGCCTGAATAAGCAGTTGATTTTACTTTATTATTCTGGTACTAAAACATTCTAATTGAATTACAATTTGGCTTCACCCCTCCATGTTAAACTTGCTGTGTTCAAACGTCAGTAACAAGATGGGATAAGGTCAGTTACACACACGCAAGATGACATTTAGAAAAAGTGTTCTTTGTTTGGGGTTTTGCAAAGGAGCTCAGTGGGGGAATCATGTGACACTCATGCTCACTTTTATTTTGTGAGAATCCTCAGTGACCTTAATTTCTAACTTCCACTAATAAATTCTCACCCCACCAGACCCCTTAATCTAACTTTTCCAAGTCCAGAGGCAAACACAAAGACCCAGTATAGTTTCTAATGGCATTCTCGTGTCCTGCTGCAGCTTCTATATTAGCTCAGTAATCACTCCAAATGAACCGAACTGTGTGTGCATGTGTTTCACTACGCAGCCAAAGCCAGCTGTGATTGGAGTCATTGTTTATGACTTAGCGATGTGGCTTATGAGCTGCATTTAGCCTGTCGCGCTTAGCAGTGTACCAAAGCTTCTCGGAAATGAGAATAGAGACAGAAAGTGGACAGCTGCACCTCACACATGCTCTAATATAGCATCATGAAAGTGTCTCCTGTGTTGACTTTTCTCTTTTAGGTGTTAACGTACGCTCAAAACCTGACCCAAAGAAAAACACCATCTGAAGAGGAGTCGGTTAAAAATAATTTTAGGTTGAATCCATAAAAATTGTAGGACTTTGTAGGAGTTTGGTAAATGTGACAGGAATAAAAAAATAAGACTGAGTTTGAAAAGTGGTTAAGCAGTGTTTTCTGTTAAACTGTTTAATTTCTAACATATCCCAGTCATTGTCAGGTATTTTACATAATCTAACACAAGAAAAACCTCACAAAAAAAACAAAGCAAAACACAAAGACAACCCCAAAAGAAAAACCATGTGGAATAAAAGTTTAAACAGGTTAAAAAGCATTAAAACACTCTTTCAAACATTATTTTTTCTCCAGATATAATGCTCTCTAGAAATTCTCCCATAATAAGCCAAGCCAAACGGCACAGAAGGAGACGTCAGGCTTTACTCCACTCTTTATCTTCCCACCTCCCTGTTTGACCCCTCCCTCGAGCCTTCTGTTCACCCGTCCCTCTGTAGGCTGTTTGTCGAGGACTCAGTCAGTTCTCTTGGACGGTCTGATCCCAAACAGGCTGAGACTTTTAAGGAACTGAAGGGAGATTAGCAGGGCCGGCTGTACCCGGGGAGGTTCTGGCAGGCACTCTGTTCCTGGGGACGTGCAGGCAGGACACTTCCTCCAAACTTTTGCTATGGCTGAGCGGTAACAGGAGCTGATAACTAAGGAGTTGGTCCTTTTTCTTTTCTGACTTGATGGGACAACACAGAACGTAATGTTCTCTCTGACTTCGGGATTACGTTTTATGCAAGAAGAGAAACAAAAAGATTTATTTTGTGTTTTTAACAGACTTTGGATTCATCAGAGGAAGACAAAATGAGAAGGAGGAAAGGTCAATTGAGTTTGTGTAACACACACCAAATTTGTTTATCCAGCTCAGATAAATATGTGTGTTGCTTGCACGTAGCTCCACACTCTGTTTGTGTGTGTTTGTGAATTAGCAAGCCCATGCTTGCCGGTGGAAGAGCAGTCTACCCCAGATACCTCATACAGCTGAGTCTCTGTGTGGAGATAAGAGTAGGTGCTGACGTAGCACAGGCTAAGCTCATTCTTTTATACATGAAGGTGCTGTCAGCAGTCTGACCCATGGAAAACTAAACTACATGAGAGTTTCTGGTCCTTTGGAGGAGCTGCTCAGTGGTCAGTATGTATTTGACCGACAGATGAGCTGAAACAGGCGGGTGGATTATTAACGATTACAGCTGATTCATTTGTCCCAGTACACAAGATGAAGAGGAGGAGGGAGCGATCAGGAGCCCCGCAACTTCGCCTCCAGTAAGAGTGTGTGTACACGGCATGTTCAAATTTGTGTGTGAAAGCGAATGAAGATTAGGTTCATATCAACACAACAAGAGCTGTATCCCATTTCCTTCTCATTTATTTGTGCTAAACAGACAGAGGTATTCTTATATACAAGTACCACCTCAAGATCAATAATGTGAATATTGTGATTTATCTGTTTAGTCTCTATTTTAAGAGGAAAATAACAGAAAAGTGCTCATCTTAAGCTTATAGGAATAGGACAAGCTCAGGAACTGATGTTGGGCCACTTCGTACTTCATGGCACATTCATAATCACTAATAGGGACCAAGTTCCCACAGTCCACAGTACATTTAGCACTTTAAAAAGAGTTAGCAACATTAGCAAACTGCAGGCCAACCAGACGTTTAAGAGGCTTAGCTTTGTCTTTACATTAATTTCAAATAACATCCCCAACAGATGTTTTTATTGTTTAATTAACCACATGCTGTATTTCACAAACTGGACATCATTGGACAAAGTCTCTTCATATATTACACTGTAAATATTCATATGATCCATTTAAGACAACAAAAAATTGATACCAAAGAAGAGAATTAAAAGCATTGATGATATAAAATATAAAAAATTACATATTGCTTTTGGGAATTGAAAGTTAGTGCATACATGAGTGAGATGTTGATATCAATTTAAACTTTAAGATTTTGTGTAGGTGACACATCAATGACCCACATACATTCACAGTGCTGAACACACATAGTGTACATACATAGTGTGTCAGTGAAATGGAAACCATGAGGAGCCATGAACATGAGAAGGTATCAGAGTGAGATCCCAGCAGGGAGGGAAATCCTTCACCAGCTTAACAGATTACTGTGACTCTGTGCTTGCACTCTTTCACATGTGTATACAGCTAATGTTGTTTTTTCTTACTTTCTGTGGAGGTTTGAACAAATTATTAAGGCAATGCTGGCCTTTAAGAAAATATATTGTAGCTAACTTCCAGAATAATTAAATATTAATAATAATAATA